CCTTCCTGCCCCTCTCCCTTGTCCCTGCCTCCCTGCTCCTCCTGCTGCTGTCGTCTCAGCTGCTCCTCCTTCTCAATCCGTGCCTTCTCTTTCCTGCGCCTGCTCCTCTCCCTCTTCGTCCGCTTGCCCCGCTCCCTCTTCTTCCTGCGTGACCCCGTCTCCCCCTTCCCCATCGCCCCTCCCTGCTCCCCACCCTCGTCGCTACCCCCTGACCTTGCTGGCACTGTCGCCGTTGGCTTGTGGTGTCGCCGTCCCCGCCCCGTATAAAGCTGGTTCACTATTCGCTTCTGCGACACAATCATTTTTTTGCCATCTTGGATCCGAACGCAGGCAAGCGGGATGCGGGTGCCTGGGTCGACCCCAACCACGGGTGTGATGGGGCTGGTGTCGCAGACGGTGTCGCGGCGCGCGCTGGGCTCCACTAGGAGGTATGCCGTGTAGCCGTCCGTCCTGATGGACGTGACGCGACGCTTCCGGAACTGCCTGGCCACGTCTGCTCCGAGGAAATCGAGGAGGGACAGAGCTTGCCTTGGCTGTGGTCGCACTGCGGCAGGCTGTCGGCACTGGCGCTGGGAGTGGCCGAGGCGGCCACACTTGCAGCAGGTCAGGTACCGTAGTAGTCCTGCATCTAGTTGTATGAAAGGGTGCTTGTTTGTGAATGTGGGGAATATCTTGAACGAGGTCAAGTCGGTGTCGGGCGGTGCAAGGGTCCTCGCAAGATGCTGCGCGGCGCCGATGTAGAGGGCCAGCTCGGCCGTGTGCTCACATGCGAAGCGCGCGCCTTCGTCATGGTGCTCCGCCACCTTCTTCAGTTGCCGTTGAGCAGCTCTCGCCTTGTTCTTGAGATCCCGTTGGAGGAGCGGGGTGAACTCTTTGGACGCCAGGTTCAGCAGCTTGTATGCCTAAGTGGTGAAGATGAGCACGTGCAAACACGCGTGTGAGTTGGTTTGGGTTGTGTGTGTATGAGTTGGTTGTGTGTGTCGCGTTGGTCGAGCGGGGACACACACCGCGATGCATGATGTAGCAACAGCAGGCATGCGAGGAGGGTCATCAAGCAGACAAGGCAAACACGCAAGCATGCGCACAGACATACCATGGTGGCCGTCATCCATTTCGGTGGGTCCGGTATCCCCACGCCGTGCTGTCGGAGGATTGACAGCATCGGATGCTGGCTATGTTTTTTGTGGTTGCGCAGTGTGGTGAAGAGGTTGCTTAGCTTGTCTGCTGTCAGCTGTGGCGCCAAGTGCTGGAAGCAGTAGGCAGGTCTTGGGGATTTGCCTGTGGCTGCTGCTGTGACTGTTGTTGCAGTGGCGGGCGGTGTTGTTGCTGCGGCTGCTGTTGCTGTGGCTGCTGTTGTTGCTGCTGCACCTTTTGCCCTCTTGCACGGGTTGTCAGACGGCGACGCCGCTCGGGACTTCTTGTGGTCCTTCTTCTTCTTCTTCTTCTTGAGGTCCTCGACGCCTTCGGCACGCTCCTGGGCCTCGCGGAAGGCGACCTTGCGCTCCACAATTTCCTTTCTTGTGGTCTGGGCGAGGTCCGCCAGAGTGGAGAGGATTTCCCGGTGGTGTTGTTCCGCAGTGCGCAGAATGTGCAGGTAGAGTGCCGTGGTTGCAGTGCACTTCATCTGCCCAGCATACCTGCGTCAAGCGTGGATGTGCGTGACAAGGCAGGGCGGGTGTGCGCATGCATGAGCGTGTGATTGCGCACGCGGGCACGAACCTCGCATGAAGTGCGAGAGTGGGATGAAGGGTGCATGGTGCAGTGAAGGAAGCAGTCAGGCAGTTCAGCGCATTGTCGGCCATACCTGCACATCTCCAGCACCTTTGAGCGCTCCAGCTCCACTCCAAGCCGCTTGAAGGGCATCAGGACCGCCACCCTGTTGTGCACCAACATCGATAATTGCAGTTGGAAGAGGGCAAAGTGTGAGCGGGCGCAGGGCCAAGCGACAAGGGTTCAGTCACAGGTGCAGACGGCAAGCGGTTCACGCAGCACAAACACAACGCATGCAACATAGCGCAGCAGGCAGGCTATGCAAGAGCAAACCTTGGGTTCTTGTTCTGATCTTGACCGCGTCGCTTCTGCCCACGTTTTCCCTGCTTGGTGCTCTTGCCACAATCGCCACGTCCATTGCGATCACGAGGCTTGCGCCCTGGACGCCGCGTACGCTGCGTCACCATACAAAAAACGTCACCAGATGGTACATAAGTCCACAGCGCGAAATCTCAGGGTTTCAGGCACAGCAAGCGCGGCGCACTACACACGGGCGATGGCATACGCAACCATGTTGAGACTTACGTGTGATGTTGTCTCAAGTCGGCCATTCCGCATGTCGGATACGATGGCTTTGAGAGCCGGGCGAAG